GAGTAATATTCCATTATATATTATGTGTAATATGTGACATTGTCTTTATCCATTCATATATTGATGGACATCTAGGTTACTTTCATATCTTAGCTATTACTAGTAATGCTGCAATGAACATAGGAGGTACATATTTCTCAAATTAGTGTTTTTTATTTCTTCGAATAAATACCCAGAAGTGAGATTGCTGGGTCATCTGGTAGTTCTAGTTTTAATTTTTTGAGGAACCTCCATACTGTTTTCCATGGTGGCTGCACCAGTTTGCAATCCCACCAACACTGCATGAGAGTTCCCTTTTCTTTACATCCTCACCAAAATTTGTTGCTTGTTGATTTATTGATGATAACTGTTCTGACAGGTGTGCAGTGATATCTCATTGTGGTTTTAACTTACATTTCCCTGATGATTAGTGACATTGAGCATCTTTTCATGTCTGTTAGCTATCTGTATGTCTTCCTTGGAGAAATATCTATTTAGGTCCTCTGTCCATTTTTTAACTTGGTTGTTTGGGGGTTTTTCTTGTGTTAAGTTGTATGAGTTTCTCATATAGTTTGGATATTAATCCCTTCCTTATTAGACGTATCATTGGTGACTATCTTTTCCCATTGAGTAGGTTTTCTCATTTTGTTGATGGTTTCCTTTGCTGTGCAAACACTTTTTAGTTTGATGTAATTCCATTTATTTATTTTTTCTTTTATTGCCTTTGCCCGAGGAGACATATCTTTAAAGGTGTTACTAAGAGCGATGTCAAAGAGTTTACTGCTTATGTTTTCTTTCAGGAGTTTCATGGTTTCAGGTCTTACATTTAAGTCTTTAGTCCATTTTGAGTTCATATTTGTTTAGGTGTAAGAAAGTGGTCCAGTTTTACTTTTTTTACATGTATCTGTCCAGTTTTGCCAACAACACTTATTGAAGAAACTTGTCTTTACGCCATTGTATATCCTTGCCTCCTTTGTTATAGATTAATTGACCACATAAGCAAGAATTAATTTTGGGGCTGTCTATTCTATTTTATTGATCTATATATGTATCCGTTCTTATGCAAGTAGCATACTGTTTTGATTATTGTGGCTTTGTAGTACACTTTGATATCAGGGACCATGATACCTCCTATTTTGTTCCACACTAGTGGAAATCAACCAGTCAGAAGAGCAAAAGGTAAAAAGAATTTTTAAAAAATGAGGTTAGCTTAAGGGACCTCTGGGATAATGTCAAGCATTCAAACATTTGCATTGTAGGGATCCCAGAAGGAAAAGAAAAGGAGAAAGGAACAGAAGCTTTATTTAAAGAAAGAATAGATGAAAACTTTTCTAACATGGGAAAGGAAACAAACACCCAGGTCCAAGAAGCACAGAGAGCTCCAAACAAGATGTACTCAAAGAGACCCTTACCTAGACAGATTGTAATTAAAATGGAAAAAGTTAAAGAGACAATGTTGAAGGAGGCAAGAGGAAGACAACAAGTTACATACAAAGGAAACTCTATAAGGCAGCTGATTTCTCAGCAACAACTTTAAAAGCCGAGAGTGGCAGAACATTTTTAAAATGCTGAAAGAAAGGAAGCTACAACTTAGAATAACTTACCCAGCAAGGTTATCATTCAGAATTAAAGGAGAGGTAGTGTTTACCAGACAAGCCAACACTGAAGGAGCTCATCACTGTTAAACAAGCTTTATAAGAAATGTGAAAAAGTCTTCTTTAAGCAGAGAATGAAAGACCATAACCAGAAATAAGAAAATATAAGAAAGGAAAAAACATCATAGATAAAGCAAAATATTTAATAAATATAGCAAATCAGACATTTTAAAAGTTACTACAAAGATCAGAAGGAAAAAGTATCAAACAACTCAAACTATAATAAGTAGTTAGGAGATATAAAACAAAGAAAGATCTAAAACATGACATCAATAACATAAGCATGAAGGGGTAAAAATGTAGTTCTCATAGAGTATATTCAGACTTAAATGTCTATCAGCTTAAAATAGAGTGCTATAGATATATAATGTGTTCATATTTTGGAATACACTTTGCTTTATTTTATCTATTGATGAATCCTCTAGATCTCTTGATAATAGTACATGCTACTCTTGTATGAGTCTCCAAGTTCAAATGCACATAAAATTCTGTGGACATCATTGAAAAATTGCTGGACTGTAGTGATCCAGTTCAGATTTACAGGCAACAGCAGTGGAGTGTATCACTTGACCCTCCATTTGTGCATAACTTATTGATTTGTTCTGAATAGTTCAACACGCTTCAATACTTGGGATTATTAAATTGACTAATTTTTATTCTAATCATTGTGAAATGGTAGCTAGTGAACATTTTATTACCTCATTGCCAAGATGATGGGCATTTCTGTACATTTTTTTATCTTGTATTAAATGTTTTGCTTCTTTTTCCATTTTTAAATTGTGCATCTGTTCATTTTTACACCGCAAACTATACCTTTTATAGTGCATGTATGGCTGACATTTTTCTTATTTTGTTGTTTCTTTTAATTACCTTAATTTTAATACTTTTGACATATTTGATATATATTTAAATATATTTGATATATTTAATATATTTGTTAGTCTCTGGCTTTATGACTTACTGTTTTTGTCATATGAGAAAATTTTCCCTATGCTTCTATCAATACATGACTTCTAAAAAGTGCCTTCGTTTCATTTTTCATACTGCAATGAATTGGCTATTAGCCATGGAATAGAGAGGAATACAGAGCATTTTTTCAATTAGATCTAAGTTTGTCCTTGCTCCATATATTCAAGTGTTCTTGATGTTTGCCATTGCTCTACAATGCCCTCTCTGTTTTTGACAAACTTCTTGTATTAAATTGCTGGCCCATGGAAGACACTGTCCTTTTTTTTTTTTTTTTTTTTTTTTCGGTCTGCTTGTTCTCTCTCTAGTAATGGTGTACTGTCTGGAATACTGTAGCTTAAAAATTGTTGATGTATGTTAGGTAGGCCACCACTTTGTGCTTTAGAGGATAGTCCACTTATAGACATTTGTTCTTCCTACTAGGTTTGGAGGAGTAGTTTTTGTTGACTTCTGAAGAGTCTGTTTGGGTGACTTTATGGAATTCAAAAAGATATTATTTGGGACAGGCGACATCTGGGTGACCACTGAATTATTTCTAAGAACATTTTTTATCCTTTCATTCTATTTGATATTACCCAAGAAAAAAATTTCAATTTTCCCACGAGGACCATTAAATATTCATTAGTGTTGTTTGGTAATAAATTAAATTTAGCCTGGAGGAAACCAGGGGCAAGGTTTCAAATGTTGTCTCTTAATAGACTCACACAGGATGGGCTCAGTTCTTCAAACAAGAAGTTATCAGTTCATGTGTGAATTACTGTCTACCAATAATACTCAGTCGAGACTCAATGCCCAGAGTGTATTCTGGAGGCTAATCATGTCAGTACCATCTGATGAACATGTAAATTACAGACTCTTGAAAGGAAAATAGGAGTTTACTATATACAATATTGTTTACATAAACACCTGAGGAACACTTATCTTTAAGGGTGTTGGGTCACTCTTGAAATGCCAGTTTACTTACACCAGCAAAGGATAAACTTTGTTACCCAGTGTTTGTAAAGATATATAATTTTGGGCCTGCTCATTTTCACTCTCTTCTGCACAGTAGGTAGTAGGACTTTGTTATGAGCCAGTGTTACAGATCTGCTGTAGAAAGAGTAATTAGGGCTGAGCCAGGCAGCTCATCTTATTCGTTGGGCCCACAACAAGAGAGGTGTTCTTACTTTGCTGTTGCTCTATCAAGTGGGTGGAAACCTGTTCCCTGCACATGCATATCACTGGGTTATTTATCTCTTTCAGGGACCAGCATTTAAGCAGGATTGTGCCACTTGGGGTTCCTATTCTTAGAATGGGTAGTCATGTTGCTGTGCCGACATGGGAACCTGGAATTGAGAGAAGTTGGAAGGAGAGCCTCTAGAGTGGCTGGCTGGATATCACTTGCTGCTGAAATTCGAGAAAGGGAGTTTTATGGTGTTTTTTGTTTGTTTGTTTTGTTTTTGAGGAAAGCACTTTGAACTCTTTATGTATTTTATAATCATATAAATTAATCATCAATCCATTGTGGACTTCGGTGAACTCCCTTGCAAATTCCTTGTCTTAACCTGTTCCTCAAAGTCATCAAGGCCCAGGTTACAGTGTTAGGATTCTGCCGGGAAGAATTCCTCTGATTTTATCATCTCAGTGTATGTGCCTATACATCCTAAAAATTGGTAGGAAGCAAGCCTGAGACTCATGAGTAAAGGGATTTGGGGGACGTCTAAGTTGTCATGCCTTCCTCATGTCTGAGCTGTATTTTCCAAATAATTGTCTACCTCCAAGAAATCAGACAGAAAAGAAGGCAAAACTGATTCTGTGATAAATGTTTTACAAATCCGTTACAATTTATACTGCTCCACAAGAATATTTGTCATTCAGCCAACTGGATCTGACGACTTCTAGTGGCCTGGAGTGCTTCAGGACAGAGTGGACAATCGGATCTTGTTACAAGTCGGATTTCACAGGCCTACTGGCCTCTCATGTTTGGTGATGAAAATAGAAGAAAAAAACTTCTAGTTCTTTACAGTGCTTTCATTAAAAGCTCATACAGATATAATGCTGTGCTTCATGGAGTGATGCATGATATGGTGGGTAATAAAGGAGATGAGTTTTTTTCACAACGAATTGATGTGCTTAAAATGGAAATATTTGTTTCATTTGTATTGCATTTCTCTCATTTCTCCAAGGCACTCTGTATCCTGATATTAGATAGCAATGAATACTCATGTGATTGCAAAAACATAGCAATAAATTCCATGTGTTAATGATGCTGTTTAATTTATGAGGAAGGGAGCGTGGAGAGAACTAATCACAAATAGTTCTGACAACGAAGTCATATGTGAACTTCTTATGAATTGAGTATAGATTCCTAGTGCTGTTCATCTTACCCATTCTTCTTTATACATATTTGGAATGTTTTAGGACTCAGTGGCCTTTGAGGATGTGAGTGTGAAGTTCACCCTGGAGGAGTGGGCTTTACTGAATTCTTCACAGAAGAAACTCTACAGAGATGTGATGCGGGAAACCTTCAGGAACTTGGCTTCAATAGGTAAGAATGAAAACATTCTAACTTACTTGCTTAGTTGATTAGAAAACCAGTGTTGCTTGCTCATCAGTGGAGTTCCAGGAAGTGAAATATGGAAAGGGAATACAGTGGTAGATAAACCAGGCATGGTCACAGCTCATTGTGCAACAATTTTTCTATAAAGTTTTATAGTTTATAATGATTTTTTTCTGGTTTGCATTTTAGGGGAAATACGCAAAGACCATGACATGGAAGCTCACTATGAAATGCCTGGGACAAATTTAAGGTGAGTCTCACTCATATGAGAAAGCAATGTCCTACTGGGATGACATTGTCCTCATGCTATGTCATAAAAATTTTAAAGCAGCATATAAAACAAGTCAGCCAAAGTTTCAAATTTATTTAGTCTTGGAATATTTTCATCAAAATTTTTTTCTCAAATATGACTTAGATATTTAATGTTTCAAAAATAGTGCATTTGGAAACAGTATTTGAAACCCCATTTATGAATGCACTGTTTTGATAATAGCTATGACGGAGCCCTCTTGCAGAGCATTTAGCATATTCACTTTCAGTCAGAAAGCACTGAAAACTTACACTTTCCTTGATTATGGTAAAAAGTGTTATTGTATTAACTATTAATATAAAATCTTTAACAAATAAGACATTAATAATATGCGTTTCACTTTTTACAGCAGTCACACAGTGGAGAGACTGGATAAAAGTAAAGGAAGTAGTCAGTGTGGAGAAACCTTCAGCCATATTCCAAATCGTAATCAGAAAAAGAAAACTCCTACTGGAATAAAACTATGTGAATGCAGTTTATGTGGACAAGTCTTCATGCATCTTTCATCCTTTAATAGGCACATGAGATCTCACACTACAGCCAAACCATATGAGTATCAAGAATATGAAGAAAAGCCATATAAATGTAAGGAATGTGGGAAGGCCTTCAAGTATCGCCAATCCATTCGAAGGCATGAAAGGATTCACACTGGAGTGAAACCGTACATATGTAAGCACTGTGGTAAAGCTTTTAGTTGTCTCAGCTACTGTCGAATTCATGAAATAGCTCACACAGGAGAGAAACCATATGAATGTAAACAATGTGGTAAAGCTTTCAGTTGTCCCAATTACTTTAGAAAACATGAAAGAATTCATACTGGAGAGAAACCTTATGAATGTAAGCAATGTGGTAAAGCCTTCAGTTGTCCCACATCCTTTCGAAGTCATGAAAGGATACATAGCGGAGAAAAGCCCTATGAATGTAAAAAATGTGGCAAAGCCTTCAGTTGTCCAAGTTACTTTCGAAAACATAAAAGAATTCATACTGGAGAGAAACCATATGAATGTAAGCAGTGTGGTAAAGCCTTCAGTTGTCCCAGGTCCTTTCGAAGTCATGAAAGGAGACACAGTGGAGAAAAGCCCTATGAATGTAAAAAATGTGGTAAAGCCTTCAGTTGTCCAAGTTACTTTCGAAAACATGAACGAAGTCATACTGGAGAGAAACCGTATGAATGTAAAGAATGTGGGAAAGCCTTCAGTTGTCCAAGTTACTTTCGAAAACATGAAAGAAATCATACTGGAGAGAAACCCTATGAATGTAAGGAGTGTGGGAAGGCCTTGAGTTCTCTTACCAACTTTCGAAGGCACATGATGAAGCACACTGGAGATGGGCCTTATAAATGTAAGGAGTGTGGGAAGGTCTTTGATTGTCCCAATTACTTCCAATACCATGAAAGCACACATAGTGGAGAAAAGCCATATGAATGTAAAGAATGTGGTAAAGCCTTCAGTACTCCCAGGTCCCTTCAAAATCATGAAAGAACTCATACTAGAAAAAAACCTCATGAATGTAAGGAATGTGGTAAAGCCTTCAGTTTTCCCTGTTCCCTTCAGAAACATGAAAGAAGTCATACTGGGGAGAAACCTTATGAATGTAAGCAATGTGGGAAAGCCTTCACTTATCTCAGTTCCATTCAAAAACATGAAAAAGCTCATAGTGGAGAGAAACCTTATGAATGTAAGGAATGTGGGAAAGCCTTCATTTCTCTCTCTAATGTCCAAAGACATATGATAAAACACACTGGAGACGGACCTTGTAAATGTAAGGAATGTGGGAAAGCCTTTGATTGTCCTAGTTCATTACGAACACATGAAAGAACTCACACTGGAGAGAAACCCTATCAGTGTAAAAATTGTAGTAAAGCCTTCAGTCGTCCCAGTTCCTTACGAAATCATGAAAGAACTCATACCTAAGGGAAAGTCTATGAATATAAAGAATATGGAGAACCTTTGTGGACATATAAGGATGCACACTGGAGAGATGCCGTATATGTAAAGAATATGGAAAAGCCTTGAGTTGTCTGGTTTCCTTGGGAAACCACACACACACACACAAATCAAAGTGGATAAAGTTCTACTGAATGTAAACAATATAGAAAAAACTTCACTGGTCTCGAAGTCCTACAAAACCATGTGAGAATGCACACTGGATAGAAATTGTATAACTGAAAAATGAGACAGATTTTTTAATTTTAACAAATATTTTCAAAGTAGTGTGAAAACTGCGTCGGAAATAAGTTATATCAATGTAAGTAATATGGGTAGCCCAGTGAAAACCAAGTAGGGTATTCTAGAAATGTCAGGACATGAAAGAAATGTCATAAATGTTATACATATATGGTCTTTATTACTGACGTTAAGTGATTCTCTGTAGTATGGAGTTCTACTTACTTTTGCAAGTAAATTTTGAAGTGACAATTCTGTAGGTACTGTTTAAGAAACAGTTACTAAATTTAATAAGCTTTTTTCTCCTTTAGTCAGTAAAATTTTTGTATTTCTATTTTGAAGTCTGTTAGATCCATGGGTGAATGGAAGTATATTTCTAATATACAAGTAGGTTTAATTTTTATATAATTTTGTAATTGACCTACAAGGAAAGGACGATTGAAAAATGACACTTTTGGTATTTGTTGGTTTTTTTCCCTACTGGCCTCCTGTGACAAGTACTGAATATGTTTTACCCATTATATATATAAATTTATATATATATTCCACCTTTCTTAACAGAAAACTATCATTTCATTAGCCTGAAAGAGCCTTAGTTTGTTTTCCCTACCAATAAATATTTGGCATAAATTTGTAAGGATGCAGAGTTCATCATAGAATATAGTCTCATGCAAATTAGTATTTTAATCTATAGTCCCTTGCTCTTTATCATTCTTTCTGGTTGGGATTTGAGCTATGGAGTTCGCATGAAGAAGAGAGACCTGTGAGGAGAAAAAAAATGGCATAGATGATAGAGGCTCTGTTCATCCCTCTGGTGACCAAATCAAAGTTGAGATGGAAACGAGGAGCAGCAGCAAGGAAAAATCATCTGGGATCTAGAGGAACAAGCCATACAACTAGGGAGAAATCCAAGAAAGCACCCTGCAATGGCAGAAGGTAGATGGGGCGAAGACATGGGGCTACCCAGTCCCAAGCAGCTGAGTGACACAGAGGCTGTAGCAGTGATAGACGCCTCTTAAAGGGGCCGCATCCACGAGCAGATTTTCGCAGCGACAGACCTGCTCGCTCTGAGCACCAGTGCCGATTTGGCTGCTCACAGGGGGCACCAGGGACTAACAGGGAGATGTCGGAGCGAGGGCTGAGGCAGGATTTGCTCTCTACAGAAGTGTCGGCGGTATCCATTGTTCCCTGTTGAGCCCTCCCCCCACATAGTTCATGGACACAGCGCCGCCATTGCCGTGAGGTCATCAGACAGGATAACAGAGTTCACTCTGCCCAGAAGATTCCCTGCAAAACCGCCAACCCCAACTCAGGCCCCACTCAAGCCACATCCAGCTGTATCCTCAGCAAGTCAGGTGCTCCTTGCTGAGACTCACACTGGAGGCAGCCTCAGTTTCTGGTGTGGCCTTTTGAGGCAACTATAAGCACAGCATCTGTGGATTGCTTGCTGAATCTTAACAGGTGGTCTGGGAGGGGTACAGGCTTGGACTAAACTTGGCCTGCAGCTGAACCCCTCTCAGGACTGTGCCACTGGACATGTACCATACAAAGCTGCACTAGTTAAGACCTGGAGACTTAGGAGCTTTGCTTAGTACATAGAAACAGACACGGAAAGACAGCCAAAATAGAAAAACAAAGAAGCAGAAACCATATGAGTAAACAGAACAGAGATCCAAAAATAATGGAGTCAAGCAATCTAACAGACGCAGAGTTCAAAACTCTGGTTATAAAGATGCTCAATAAACTTAGGGATGAATTCAGTGAGATATTTAACAATGAGATAAAAAAAAACCCATAAAAATGTAAATTGAAATTATAAAAGGGGACCAATCAGAAATGAAGAACACATCTGAGATGAGAAGTATATTAAATAGAATAAACAAAGTGATTAAAGAAGAAGATCAAATGCCCTATCTAAAGGACAGGAAAGCCAAAGACACTCAATCAGAACGGCAAGAAAAAAGATGCCAAGAATATAAAAATAATTTAAGGAGCATATGGGACACTATCAAGGCTCCAAATATTCATCTGATCGGTGCAACTGAAGAAAATCAAGATGTTGAACAGCTGTTTGAAGAAATAATGATGGAAAACTTTCCTAACCTGATGAAAGGAATGGACATAAAACCCCAGGAAGCTCAGAGAATTCCCAAAATCAGGGATCCAAAGAGGCCCATCACCAAGACACATCATAATTAAAATGCCAAAGGTGAAATACAACGAAAGAGTATTAAAAGCAGCAAAAGAAAAACAGATAGTTACTTATAAGGGGAAACTCATAAGCCTGGCAGCTGATTTCTCTAAAGAAACTATGCAGGACAGAAGGGCTTGGCACAAAACATTCAACAGGATGAAGACCTAGGATCTACAACCAAGAATACTTTATCCAGCAAAGCTATCATTTAGAGTTGGAGGACAGATAAAGAGCTTCCCAGACAAAAAACAGGAATAAGGAATGGTAACAACTACATTCCTATCAATAAGTACCTTAAATGGAAAAGAATTAAGTGCTCCAACGAAAAGATAGAGTGGCTAAAAGGATAAGAAAACAAGACCTCTACATAAGAAAAGGAAGGGGATGGAAAAAGATATTGCTTTGATGGAACTAGAAGGTATTCAAGTCAGACAGAGAAAGATAAACACTATGTAATTTCACTTATATGTGGAATTTAAGAAATAAAAGGAACAAACTAATCAAAAACAGACTCACAAATATAGTGGACAATTTGGTGTCAGACAGAGGGGAGGGAGGTTTGCAAGGCTGGGAGAATGGGGTGAAGTGCTAAAGAAGTACAAATTAGTAGCTGATGGATGGTCATGGGGATGGTGAGCACAGCATGGGGGATGCAGTTTGCATTAATATGTTGGCTTGGTGGAGGGTCAGGGAAGGGATCGTTTTGTGAACTAGATAGATGTCTAACCAATGTACTGTATACTTTAAACAAAAAAAGCATGTTAAAAAATGAATAAATACATTCAAATAGAAAAAAAATTTTAAATGGTTAAGGTGGCAAACTTTTTAATTTTAATTTTTCAATTAAAGTTGACATTCAATATTATTTTATAGTAGTTTCTGGTATACAGCATAGTGATTGGGCCTTTGTGTAATTTACAAAGTGATCCCCTTGATTAGTCTAGTACCCAGCTGGCACTATACATAGTTATTACAATTATTTAAGTGGTAAATTTTATGTTATATATACCACAAAAGTATGCAAATAAAATGCAATTAATATTTTTTTTAAAAAGGAGACTTGTGATAGGACAACAAAATCGAATTGGAGATGACCCTTCTTGACTATTATATCAATGTGACTAATGTGAACTACAGTTTCTAGGATCTGTTGCCTTTGTGGTTTCATGTGAGAAATCACCAACACCTAACTGACATGAAACTTGGAACGCAGAAGTAAAATAAAATTAGACAGGTTTTGGAGCCACCTGTATAGATAAGACAGATGTAAACTTCCTTGTGAACACTTGCCTCCAGACCGTTTTCTTTATTCTCTTCCCCAAGAATCAAGAATATCCTTGAAACCACCAGTGACTGCTTGACTTCCATTTGATTTCAGCTGTAGGCTTCTACAGTTGTCTCCAAAGTTCAGCATCAAAGGTCCAGCACAGTTTGGATTCTGTAAGCCTGTATGTGTCCACCAGACAACAAATGTAGACTGTCATCATTGAGAATGTTCTCTGAAGCACTAACTCCACTCTTCTTTAGATCGTCTTTGTTTAAGGTCTAATTTGTATAGTAAACGCTTTCTATTAATACCACTAGCGAGTATAAGTTCCTCATTCCACCATGACAGCTACAGTGGTGCCGTCCAAAAGAACCACGTTGGAGTTTGTTCCTCTGCTGCACTGGGCGGTGACGGCTCTGACTCAGTCCTTCCATGTGAGAATCTGCTATCAGGCAGATTCTGTGTGTTTCCTGTTACTCGTACCTGAGCATAATCACTCATTGTACTTTCAGTTACCTTTGATTGAACGTGATTGAAAGTTTGTGCATTTTTTCTCTAATAAATGCTTCTGTAGTTTTTTTTTTCTTAGAAACATTTATTAACTGTTTAACAAACACTTGTATATTAAGAAATATTATTGTCTTTTTCATTTCTTGAAAGTAGACATTAAAATATCTCATTGAAATTATGGATTGATCGATGTATAATTTTCTCCATTTAATCTTTATATATTCTGAGTCAATATTATGTGCATACAAACTCAAGTATTATTTCCTCAGGCGATTTTTTATACTCATAATTTTTGTCATGAGGCTAGTTGCTTATTCATTTCTAATACCAAAAAGTTAAATCATATTTTTTTCAATCCCCTCCTGCCAAAGACCACTAGATTACATCTGCAGTCAGAGGGGTGTATGAATTTTAGTACAGCAGTCCCCCCTTATCTGCTGGGAAGATGTTCCAAGACCCCCAATGGGTACCTGAAACCGGATAGTACTGAAAGATACATATACTATTTTTTTTCTGTATATACATACCTTTGATGAGTTTATTCATAAATTAGTCATAGTAAGACATTAACAACTATAAAATAGAACAATTCTAGCAATATAGTAATACAAGTTATGTGAATGTGGTCTCTCACAATATCTTATTGTACTGTAGTCACTCTTATGATGATGATGTGAGATGATTAACTATCTACATGATGAGATAAAGTGAGGTGAATAATGTAAGCATTGTGACATTGCATTAGGCTACTACGGACCTGACAACGTATAAGAAGGAGGACCAGCTACATCAGGTGATCCTAAATCATTGAGTCATGGCAACTCAATGGTTTGATGTCAGAAGCAGAAGATGTTGATGGTCGAGGATCCTTGATAGTTGAAGGGTTTTTTTTGCCAATATCTTTTGGAAGAACATTGTACTCAGAAGTTGGTTTCTCTAACTCATCAAAGTGTTGCTGCAGAGGTTGTAATCCTCTGGTGATCATACAGGTGACTTTAATGCTGTGTTTTATGTGAGGATCATATTCTGTTAAATTGTCTTTTAATATCTGCACAATTCAAAACACTGGCAAATAGTAATGTCCACATCTCTGATTTTAGTTCAGTTTTTCTTCCTCTTCCTCTGTAGATGATTCAACAAGTTCTTCCAGTTCCTCATTTGTTGACACTTCTCAAGGGCCTTCAACATGATCTTGCTCATCTTTGTGAAGCACATTAGTACATCCTCCACTAACTTGTCTTGCTGCATAAATAATTTTCCTGACTTCATCAATCCCCAAGAAGCCTTTAAAGTCATTCATGATTTCACTTCATAAGTTCTTCCAGGCATCATTTACATTTTCTGGTTTTAACTCATACATTGAAGCTTTTACAAATGTTATTGCATCAGCAATAGTGAATTATTTCCAGTTGTGCATTATGTCCAGATTATGGTATGCATGAATTGATGACCAAATGCGATCAAATACTAGGTGAGTATATGTGGCCTTGACAAACCAAATGACACTTGGTCAAGGGGCTGAAGCAGTGAAATTGTATTTGAATGTAAAAATGCACCTTCAACGTTTTCATTTTCCTAGCAATCAGATTGGCCAGGTGCATTGTCTATTTTTATTAGGACTTTAAATTTCAACACTTCCTTAACCTTCCAAGTATTTTT